TTGATCTAGGGTTTAGGATCCTCTTAATCCAGGAAAAATTTCAAGATGAGCGTAGACACTGTTCCGGAGATGTGAAGGGGTGAAAGTGATGGTTTCTCATCACTTTCATGGAAATCATCATTTTGACCCTCTTGTATCTCCGGAAACGTGCCTATATTCCTCTTGAAATTTTACTAGGAGTAATGTTTTATCTAATAGTACTATTTTCATAAAAAAAAGTTTGAAATTCGAGGTCCAAAAAATGGGCGAAATTTCCATAACTCTTTTGAAAAATTTTTTTCAGAAATCTATGTATATATATATATATATATATATATATATATATATATATAGAAGAATTTTTACTTGGATAATTAAAAGAGAAAACTAATTATTTAAGAAGTCATTTAAAACAATGAAAATGATGAGTTTTTGTTACGTGCGTATGTGTGGGTATGCATAATATAATATACTTTTTTTATCTATAGTATATGGAAAATATATAAATACATATGTCTTTGAATTGATCTTATATTTTACTTACTTTATAAATATTTAAATATCTTTCAAGTATACATTAAGTTATATACTTGAAAGAATTGAATTAATAATCATCTTTAAAATGTATATAGCTGAACTATAACTTGGAAGAATTGAATTAATAATCATCTTTAAAATGTATATAGAATCTATTTCTGCACATAAAATATTAGAATTGTAAGAATTGATCTCTTAATTAACATTAAAAATATAGGATCGTGTCAGAAAGGAGGTGGATACTGTTATGCAAGACAATCAAGGAAAGCTCACCATGAAATCGTTGCAAAATTTATCATATTTAGAGAGATGTATAAAAGAGGCATTACGTTTGTATCCCAGCGTTTATTTTATAACACGATCTATTTCGGAAGATGTAAAATTAAGTACGTAACTGACCTTTTGATATTTTAACTTTTAAATATTACGAAATAAGTAAAAAAAAAACGTTATATATAAATATTTATATATACATATAATGTTTATTTATAAAGTATTATGTATATTTTTATTACAGAAGTAAACTTATTAATCTTATTTTAATAAATATAACAAGCTTTTTAAATAATTCTAAAAAATTAATTGCTCATTAGTGTTATTGTACATTAGTGTTACTGTACATACATTAGAATTATAATAGATTAATAGAATAACTTCTTTTGAATATAAATATTTTCAACAAAATAAAATCCTTATTTTTTATCACCTAAATTATACATATATGTATGTATTTTGTACTACAGTTGAATAGACATTTTTTAAAATTTAATCAAACTTTTTATTATCATTTATAAATCTCATCTTATTTTAAATTATGTCTTTTAGAGTCATATTTACTACCTGCTGGGACAAGTATAATTCTTTATATCTATGGAGTTCATAGAGATCCCAATTTTTGGCCAAATCCAGAAGTATTTGATCCAGATCGATTTTTGCCTGAGAAGATCCAAAATCGTCATCCTTACTCGTATTTACCATTTAGCGCTGGGCCACGTAATTGCATCGGTAAGCTGAATTTTTTCTTTTATGAATTGTTTATATGAATGATTGTGCGACACATATTAAATTATAGGCCAACGATTCGCTCTGCTGGAAATGAAAGCGATGGTAGCCCCTCTGATACACAATTTCTATTTGGAACCTGTTGATTATTTGAAGAATCTTCGGCTGCATGTTGATATAGTACTTCGACCTGCTCATCCTGTTCGTATAAAATTTGTTCCTATATCTGCAAAATGAATGCAAGTCCAATAAATTCAAATTCAACGAACGTTGGCAAACGTCACGAAAATAAAAAAAAACATTATACTTAATATGTATTGCATATATACGTGTATATACAATTTGTTTTGTTGCTAATACACAAGTTGATACAAAATATTTAAAGTGCATAC